GCCCGGGCCTGATACGAAAAGAAACAGGTCTCTCCCATAAGCAAGGCGACGATCAAAGGCGCTTGTTCCTCTCAGGACTGTCTTGGCATCACTCTCGCGCGCCAAAAACCATCATCGAGGCGACGAAGACAAATCTAATGCGACAAGCTAATACATGAGACTGATGCGTTCGTCCTTCAAGTTCACAGCAGCTGCTACCAAAGCTGTGGCTGGCACCTAGAGCCAATGAAGAGGCGATGGCATGACTACACAGCAGGGCCGCAAGGAAATTGGATTCGGTTGGCTGATGCAAAGAGAAAATTACACGACCTTGTGCTGCATCAAGCATGCCACTTCAAAAGACCAAGGAAAACATGTTGAGACTAGTTATGACATTGTCTAAGATTGTCCAAGACAAATGCGTGAGATACCATGCCTTGCGCAAATTTACATGCCAAGCACTATCGGTGCCACTTGCCACAAATCTTCATTGGGGCCTCAAAAAACAATGCGTTAGAAACTAGAATGGAGACAGCGGTATCCGTTGCGTTTGACATAGATCGACATAAGGCTTAGGTCGTCTTTGATACCCTCGTCGTCCAGCATTCCGCATTGTGATTCATTCTGTGCGTTAATGGGTGGGAAAGCATAGTCTCTGAAATGGTCCTCGGAGTACCGCCGGATAAACCTAACCAAACGGGTTTTCATAGATCACAAAAATGATCCCCATGTTTTGCACATCTTATTCACAGCGTCCAAATACATACTGCCGCTTGACCACGCTGTGGCACAGGTTCTTGCCCAAGGTCTCTCAATAGTGTTGCACAAATGCCACGGGTGCGCAGAAGACAGGGTTCAACCCAACGCTTTCGCTCCAGGTTTCCGGGGAAAACACGAATAAGAAAAAAAAGATGGCGAAGATCAGAGAAGAGGGGGCAACACAGAAAAACATGGAAAACAAAGCAAATGGAAGAACGGAAAGCAGCAAGCAGAAGAGCGCGACTTTTTCTTTACTTCGTGTGTCCAATCGATTTATCGGGCGCACATGCACCAAGCGGATCCAAGCGGCCATGAAGACAGCCGGGACCAGAAAGTAAGCACCGCTTCCAATCCTGATGCGCAGAGGCGATCGCATGAAACAGTCATGAAACAATCTGAAACAACACGCCTACAAAGAAATCTCAGAACCTCGGCGGAATCTGCGATTCACCGCGGATCCTCCGCGCCACGGAGTCGGCCACTTTGGAGCCCAACACAGTGCCACCGATGCCGCTCAACACACAGGATGAAGACAGCACCAGCCCCGACCTTGTAGACAAGTAGCGGATAGTACCGGCGAGGTGCGTCGTGGCACGTGTGATCTCGTGTGATCACATGTGATTCAAATCCTTTTTCCCCACGTCTTTGTGTGGGGTTCTTGTTTTTGGTTCTGCATCCCGTCCGCCTCCTGCCCGCCTCCTCCTCCCGCCTCCTCCCCTTACTTGCTCACACACAACTTGCACACACACACAACTTGCTCACATACAACTTGCTGACACACGACTTGCACACACACAACTTACTCACACACAACGTACTCACATACAACTTGCTCACATACAATTTGCTCACACACGACTTGCACACACACGACTTGCACACACACACAACTTACTCACACACAACTTACTCACACACAACTTACTCACACACAACTTGCTCACATACAACTTGCTCACACACGACTTGCACACACACAACTTACTCACACACACACACAACTTACTCACATACAACTTGCTCACACACGACTTGCACACACACACACAACTTACTCACACACAACTTACTCACACACACACACAATTTGCTCACATACAACTTGCTCACACACGACTTGCACACACACACAACTTACTCACACACAACGTACTCACATACAACTTGCTCACATACAACTTGCTCACACACGACTTGCACACACATGACTTGCACACACACACACACCTTACTCCCACACAACTTACTCACACACAACTTACTCACACACACACACAACTTACTCACGCACAACTGACATGGATCGTCGCTTTGCGTGGCAGGCGTGGCGCTTATGGCACTGGGCTGGCTCTGGTGACGCGCTTGGGTAAAGGCGAGTCGCCGGGGACGCCGCGGCTGTTGGCGTGGCAGGCGTGGCACTTTGTGACATCGACCGTCACTTTGCGTGGTAGGCGTGGCACTTTGTGACATCGGCCTTAACTTTGTCTGGCAGGCGTGGCACTTATGGCACTGGGCTGGCTCTGGTGACGCGCTTGGGTAAAGGCGAGTCGCCGGGGACGCCGCGGCTGTTGGCGTGGCAGGCGTCGCACTTTGTGACATCGACCGTCACTTTGCGTGGTAGGTGTGGCACTTTGTGACATCGACCTTAACTTTGTCTGGCAGGCGTGGCACTTACTCACACACACAACTTGCTCACATACAACTTGCACACACACACAGCTTGCTCACATACAACTTGCTCACACGCGACTTGCACACACACGACTTACTCACACACAACTTACTCACATACAACTTGCTCACATACAACCTGCTCACACACACGACTTGCACACACACGACTTGCACACACACAACTTACTCACGCACAACTGACATGGATCGTCGCTTTGCGTGGCAGGCGTGGCACTTATGGCACTGGGCTGGCTCTGGTGACGCGCTTGGGTAAAGGCGACTTGCACACACACACAACTTGCTCACATACAACTTGCTCACACACGACTTGCACACACACGACTTGCACACACAACTTACTCACACACAACTTACTCACACACACAACTTACTCACACACAACTTACTCACGCACAACTGACATGGATCGTCGCTTTGCGTGGCAGGCGTGGCGCTTATGGCACTGGGCTGGCTCTGGTGACGCGCTTGGGTAAAGGCGAGTCGCCGGGGGACGCCGCGGCTGTTGGTGTGGCAGGCGTGGCACTTTGTGACATCGACCGTCACTTTGCGTGGTAGGCGTGGCACTTTGTGACATCGACCTTAACTTTGTCTGGCAGGCGAGGCACTTATGGCAAAATGTCTTGCTCTTTTGCCGGAATTAGAATAGAAACTCACTTTACGATTTCTCTGACCGCCTTGCGCCTCTTTCGCCAATGTATGGAAGAAACGTTTGGAAGCCCAAGGACGATTGACAGTCAGATTTCTGCTCGAGATTGGAAGGATGCATGGATGTCATGTCTTGAGTGCTTGGAGCAGACAGAGGGCAGAGTCTATGACTTGGAAGGCGAAGACTGCATCATCTTGGCCTGGGTCAGGCGTCTTCTCTGCGTGGCCTCCATGGACGACTGGTCCCTTCTTAAGGTTCTGGAGAATAATGCAGCAGTGTTGCAGCTGGAAGCGGTCGTGCCACAAGGACCCTCCTGGCGTGACTTTCATGCCTTTGTCGGCAGGTACCATAAGAGTCAGTTTGAAACTGCTGTGGGCGACCTCGGCATGCTGCGTGCCGCGTGGGAGTCTGCAGCGGAGGTGTCGTTGCCATATGCCGCTTGGCTGTGTATCGCAGAAGTGCAACTGGAGGAGACTTTCTGGACTTTGTGACCGTCTGCAGTTGTCCGTAGGTGTCCGTGCTGTTCGATGTGGCTGTTACCTTGTCTTGAACTTGATCCGGATTCCGTGTGCAGTATATATACCGTTTATAGCCAAAGGAGCTAGCTTTAGCTTGCATGGATTGACGCGCCGTGCGAAGATCTAGCGCCTGAACGCGGCCACGTGAGCGACAGAAAAAAGGATCACGTTCATGACAGATCAGAACAGTTTCCGTGCAATCGGTTGCCACTATTCTTCTGTTGCTTGCTTTCAGTGGGAGCTCAATTACTGCACTTGCCGCCGTCGCTTGGCAGGTCCACCACGCTGCGATGTCGTGATCTTTGCTAGTGCTGTTGCAGTTGACGGTGCTCATCTGTCTGTTATCAATCTGTGCTTCTGAAACTAACAGTCTTCGTGACAGCCGGTGTTTTCTGTTGTTCTGCCAGGCACCGACTTCGTCGCGCAGAGGCTGCTGTGCAATACACGCATACATACATACATACATACCTACCTACCTACCTACCTACCTACCTACGAGCCACAGGGCGCGCAGAAAGACTTCGCAAAATTTGCGGTTGCGGTATAAAGAGCGCAGACCATTACTTTGGTCAGCGGACCGAGTCAGCGGAAGTATGGTGAGCACACCATCGCTTTGATAGTATGTCGGGAAAAACAGCAGAGCCTGGTGGAAATCGAAGAAGACGACGCAACTGACTCACAAATTACTTACTCGCAAACAACTTGCCCTACATACATACATGCATACATACATGCATACATACATACATACAACACAACATGTCCATACACAACTTGCTCACACTTACTCTTCCACACACAACTTGCTCCACACCAATCCTTCACCATCTCTTTTCTCTTTCCTGCTTTCCCCATGCCATCTTTACCTTTCTTTTGCTGCTTGTTGGAAGAAGTTGACATGTGGGGTTATCCGGTCCTTTAATTCCTCTATCTTCACTAATCTCTGAAACTTTAGGAAGGCTCAACTTGTTTGGCATCCTTCAATTTTGGCTTACTTTGGAGACTTTGGAGAACTTTGGAAGCTGCACTGCAAACATAAAAGTGGCGATTCGACCGCTTTTAGTACTGTTGTAAGCTTGGTTGTTGCTGAACATCGAAACCTTTGCAAAGGATTCAAGCAACAATGCTCTCAGAGGCGTGGGTGCTAAGACATTGTCGTGCAGGGGTGGATCGGTTCCCCCAGTTCAATACTGTCGTGGGTTTTGTTTGACCATTCTACATTAGACCCCTGACCCATTTTCGACCCTTTGTAGTAGATGGTATGAACAATAACGCAAACATATCGCGCACATTTGAAAACCTTCAGGTCATCTCCAAGCCGGTGGACATGGATTCGGGCATCTCCGCAAAGCGAACCAAAAAGGTTGGGTACCACTCCGTCAGACCTGGCGATGCGGCCCAAGGGACAAACGCAACGTTCAAGCCGTGAGGTTTCGAAATGTTTCGACGCTATATTGATTCACATATTTTCACATTGATTCTGTGCTTTCGGCGCGGTTCAGTGCCTCCCAATGCGAATTGAATGGCAACAGATCCCATCGTTGCCAGGAAGAAATACTTGTTGCCCAATAGCTGCTTCTCCTCCAAACTCAAAACAGGCGCGGCACATGCACTGTCACAGCTTCGACTGTCTGCCTCGCATCTGACAACTGCACATTAAAGCCCCAGCCTCGTGGAACCATTTTCGCGGAGCTTCATTTTCAGACGACTGGCCGAAATCCAGTCCAAGGTTGAACGTAAGATTTGCAACAATTTTGAAGATGCAAATGGTGGTAATCAACGGTAATCAAGATTTCTGTGTGAAACACGTCTAATCACATGTGACACAAATTTGGCAAATCTGAATCTGCCGATTTCTGCCGATTGTTCCCGGTCCTCCGACTCTGACTCGGTGTCCTCATGGCCACCAACAGCAACCATTGACATGCAAGCGGGCTACTCTCAATAGGGCTGGCTCGGGACCGCGTTCAAACAACACATGCAGATACACCTGATTCATCTTCCTCTCACTGTAGAACCTGTATTCATAAACACATACAGCATTAGCATGTATTAACCACTAAAACCAGGATACAATTCTGTACATCTGAATTTTTCCCGAGAGCGTCTGAGCGAAGGGTTCTTCTAATTAGTGGTGGTCTGTCAAAAAAAAACACATCTTCACATCTTCTCATCCTCACAACCTCACACCTTCACATCTTCTCATCTTCACATCTTCTCATCTTCACATCTTCACATCCTCACATCCTCACAGCTTCACATCCTCACATCTTCACATCTTCTCATCTTCACATCTTCACATCCTTACATCCTCACATCTTCGCATCCTCACATCTTCACATCACATCTTCACATCTTCTCATCTTCACATCTTCTCATCTTCACATCTTCTCATCTTCACATCACATCTTCACATCTTCTCATCTTCACATCTTCACATCCTCACATCTTCACATCCTCACATCTTCACATCCTCACATCTTCACATCTTCACATCTCTTGCTCTCTTGCCCTCTTGCTCTCTTCCCCTCTTGCTCTCTCCTTCTTTTCGATTTCTCTCTTGAAGGCGCGGGGCAGTGCCAACGAGATGGCACGAAACGCAACCCTTTCGCACGAAATGAGGTTCGATCGCCAAAAGCTGCGGTAAAATTGCGATTTCTCGCATCCGGTCGCAACCCTTTCGCACGAAATGAGGTTCGATCGCCTACTAGGTGGTTCGCCTTTTGTTACGGAAGTTGCAACTTGGTTGCGGCACTTGTCGTGGTTGGAGAAGTTGCAAGTGAAGTTAGTAAAGTTATGGCTTAATTGCAATTCAATATTAGCCCTTAAATTCTTTAAGTTTAACTTACTGAACTTATAACTTCTTTAAGTTGTTTTGAAGCTCGAAAAGCTATAAGAAAAACCTTATTTTATTTTTTACCACAAAGGCTGGCGTGAAGAGAGATCAATTTGCTTGGTTTTGATGCTTTTCTCTAGAATCAAAACGCCCTTCGGGGATTTCGACCAAATCGTTTCTGTTGAGACGCTGCAAGCTTTTGCGGCTCCATGAGCCGCTTCAATTCAAAACTATTTGCTAGACAATGGCGGCTCATTGGGCCGCCTTGAAACTAATCCCAAGGGCCTGAAAATAATCATTGAACCTTTCATTGAAACCAGACCTCAGTGAACTGAACTTTAAATAATCACGGTACCATTGACAATTAGCTGGGCTGCTCAATGAGCCGCCTTCGAATCTAAGATTTTTGAGTCTGAAGATTCAACTTTGAAAAAGCATAAAGTGAAGTGGCTTTGCAATGATAGTTTTGTGATGCAGCAGATATGCAATAACAAATTTAATTTTGACAGATTTGGAAAGCTTTTCACTCTGCATAGCGCAGTATGATTCGAAAAATCAACAGAAACAACAATATTCATAAAAGGTGAAAAATGTTACACACAAGTATACATTATTATACATTTTTTTTTTACATTGTTATACATTTTGCTGTTCGAGTTATACATGCATAACTTCGTTTCTGTTTGAGTTATACATGTATAACTTCATTTCTGTTTGAGTTATACATGTAAAACTTCATTTCTGTTTGAGTTATACATGTAAAACTTCATTTCTGTTTGATTTGTACATGTATAACTCAAGCCCCGTTTTAGTTATACATAGTTATACATTCTTATACATTTTTTTTTTCAAAATATCGTTTATAGATGCATTTAGTGAGGGCTTGTTGTGATAATCAGGTACATGTGAAACGGGTTGATTTACATTCACAGCTTTGTCATTTTTTGAAGGTATGTTTGAACTTGTGATTGAAAAATGTTGGGCTTGTGATTTGAACTTGGCTTGAAACATTTGTTAAGTCGACCTCTATCACGCAAACATTGCTGCATTTTTCCAGCATCGACAACGACATCAAAACTGACTTCACCGTTTCATGTAGCCAAAGTCAACATCTCACTTCTGTTTCTTGTTCTTCTTTTTCTCGGTTTTCTTGTCCATGGTTTGGTCCGGATAACAAAGGTTCGGACATGTTTAAACATTGCATTGGCCCACGTGTGTTCACACATTGGAGCGCAGCGTTTTCGAAACGAAAATCAAGGTTCGCAATGTTTTGCGAGTTCCAAAAAAAACTTTGCATTCTAACAACATATAACATCTCTCCACGCCAAGCCAGTAAAGAAGAGAATAGAAAACAACATTGAAACGTTTGATTTTTTAATAGTGAAAAAGTTAACTTCCCTAAGTTACTTGCAAGTTCTTTTTCGACTATTTTTAAACATCATTGAAAAAACTTAGCAGAACTTGGCAACTTCTTCACGTCATATAACTCATCCAAATTCAGCTCCCGAACTTGCAAAACTTGCGACATTTACAAGGCTGTTACACCCAACTTGTAACCCAGCTGCAAGTTACATGCAAGTTCCATTAGCAGAACCGAACCATCAAATAAAACTGCTGTAAAATTGCAGTTTCTCGCGTCCGGTCGCAACCCTTTCGCACGAAATGAGGTTCGGTCGCCTATAACTGCGGTAAAATTGCGATTTCTCGCGTCCGGTCGCAACCCTTTCGCACGAAATGAGGTTCGATCGCAAAAAACTGTGGTAAAATTGCGATTTCTCGCGTCCGGTCGCAACCCTTTCGCACGAAATGAAGTTCGATCGCAAAAAACTGAAGGAAAATTGCGATTTCTCGCGTCCGGTCGCAACCCTTTCGCACGAAATGAGGTTCGTGCGCCTAAAACTGAAGTAAAATTGCGATTTCACGCATCTGGTCGCAACCCTTCCGCTTCGTATGTAAAATGTGTGAAAGTGTTTGTGTGTAAAAGTGTTTGTGTAAAAGTGTCTGTGTGTAAAAACGTACGTGTGTGTAAAAGTCTCTGTGTGTGAAAGCGTCTGTGTGTAAAAGCTTCTGCGTGTAAAAGTCTCTGTGTGTGAAAGTGTTTGTGTGTAAAAGTGTCTGTGTGTAAAAGTGTCTGTGTGTAAAAGCGTCTGTGTGTAAAAGTGTCTGTGTGTAAAAGTGTCTGTGTGTAAAAGCGTCTGTGTGTGTAAAAGTGTTTGTGTGTAAAAGCGTCTGCGTGTAAAAGTGTTTGTGTGTAAAAGCTTCTATGTGTAAAAGCGTGCGTGTGTAAAAGTCTCTGTGTAAAAGCGTCTGTGTGTAAAAGTGTCTGTGTGTAAAAGCTTCTGTGTGCAAAAGCGTCTGTGTGTAAAAGGTTCTGTGTGAAAAACTATACGAAGGATACGATGCAAACTATTGTCTTGTACTTGTAATATATTGTCTTGATACTCTTCTCGTCTGCCTATGATACATCTTTAATATATTGTCTTGTAATATAGTGTCTCAATACTAACAACAGAAGACCCTGCTCCTCTACGCTCTCGGGCCATCCGTCGTCTGGTTTAAATATAGAAATAGACGTAGCTCCACAGTGTTAAGAAGAATGTCGCATTTCCAGAAACAAACACGCGCATGCCATTGACATCCATGCACTAGATTGGTAAGAGATGCAGGGCACAATACTACTGATATTGATACTTAATGATACTTATATGAATGATATGCAAAATTTCTGTAAAATTACCTGTCTTTGTGTGCTCATGCGCAGTTTTTCAGTGGCGCACGGCTGCACATCCACACCAGCTTTCACTACTGGTAAATACATGTCAAGGGGACTGCAGCACACGGAACAAAAAGCAAAGTCTCGACATGTCTCGGCATATCCGTCAAATTCATAGAATCAGGGGCTTTGCCATGGTCAGTCACAAACACAGCAGACCCTGCATTCCACTGCTTTGTGCCGTGCGTCCGCATCATCATTCAGCTCCTGCTGGAACGATCCATGGTTGAGTATGGTTGAATCATCTGAGGTGTGGCAATCACTGCGTATGGATCTTCAGTTCATCAACCTATGCAGAGCCACATGTCTTGCATGTCGTTCTCTCATCTTCTGCCGCTTCCTACAGATCCTACAGTATGTCTTGGGCTTGACATAGGGCCCAAATGTCTCTGTCAGTGCAGCGGCTGCACTTCCCAGCGGCTTGAGTGAATTTTCGAGCCATTCTTCAGGATTTTCACCTCGCTCCTCCGAATCGTTGATTCCCATGGGAGGGTCCTGTTGGCCAAGTAAAAACGGTGGTCCCATCTAGTCTTGTTTGCACACGCTCTTCACCACTGCTCTGTGTCTTCAGGACAAAAGCGATGCAAAAGCTATGTTGTTGATGCAAATGCGCTACTGCCGCAACATTTTGAAACTCTTTCTGCGCTCTGCTCTCAGCTTCCCCGCATTGAGCAGCAGCACAGTGAAGGCCTACGAGGGTAGATACAGTATGCAGCAACACAATGCCTTTGCGCCACGCGCCCAGGTGCCCAGACCACCATGACACCAGGGAAGCCGCAAACAAAAAAGGCATA